CTTACCATTTGTGTAAATTGCTCACGTCATCAAGATTTTTGTATGATTTTTTCAGAGTCGATTGCGATTTACATTGTCCGAGGCCTTTGTCAGATCCGTGAAGGTGGCGTAGAGGTTGGTACTCACTTCCTGACACTTACCCTGCAGATAGTGAGTCGCAGAGATCATGTCGGTGGCTCCGCGAAGTCTACTGAATCTGCACTGCGTCTTAGGAAGAAGTCCCTGCTTCACATGCGCATTCAGATGACTGAGACAAACACGGGCGAAGATTTTCATGTAATCTTAAGTAAAGAGATGTACCTATGATTAGCATATAGTTGCTGGTTCCCTTCTCCCTTGTAGGTATGCACGATGGCAGCATCCGTGAAGTCTTGGGGAATGTGTCATTCTCGCCATATCTCCTGGAATAGCGAACCAAGCTTTTCCCTGATTTGTGGACTGCCGTACTTGTATACATCGGCTGGGATCGCGTCTACTCCCTATGCTTTTCCGCTGGATAGCAGAGTCGCTGTTGGTGTCAACTTAGGAAGGTCGGTCGGCGACTTCTTCGCGTATTGTCGACGGTTGATTGAAAACACTCTGGAAGTGCGCAGTCCAGCGCTCCACGATCTGAGACTTCTGCGTCAGGAGGATTGCTCCTTCCTGGCTCAGCCGAGGTGAACTTCTCCCGTTTTATGGACAGCAGACTACTTTCATTGCAGCGACGGAAATCTTCATTTTACCACTGTCGGGATGTCCCTGGACCCCCTCAGCTTTGTGAGTCAGCTAGTCGTTCTGCGGCTCCCCTAGTTTCTGTTTTACTGAGTGTCGGCATCGGAAGTATGTGACTTTATTGGAGTTGCTGATGTTGATGGAATAGGCTGTGTGTATCCTATGCTTCTTGGGAAGAAAGAGTGGATTTGTTCGTCCTCTTTATCCTATTGTTGACGACGTGACCGGTCTGGCCTGGATGGTATTCCGCAGCTCCCTCTAGAGGGTTTCGACATTGAAATGCGCCTCCAGGATTCCAATTTCTTCCAGTTTGGACTTCACATGGCCATAACATTCGATCGGCCTCCAACCGTATCACGTAGTACAGTACTTAACCTGCCTGATGTCGCCTGCACGGTTGCAGTTGAAGCCTAGTCTTGGAAATGGCAAGGCGGTGGCCCGTTCAACAGTCGGCATTACAAAAAACCTTCGTCGTTAGCAAGTCACGCCGATCTTGCCTTCGAACGAGAACGTATTTCAGCAGCTACCGACATCGTGAGCGTGGGTGCATTCACGTGGCCTTCTTCCGCATCAGAATACGGAAGAGAGTACTGGTCAGGAGAAAACTGCGGTCCAAACAGGTAGTATGGGCTAGATCACAGTTGGTAGCCAGGACTGAAGAAGCGGACGGCGACCTTAACCCCAACCCTAACTTCAACCTTAAACTTTATCCGTTAACTTTAACGGCTACCCTAACCCTTACCCTAACCGAAATCGTAAACGTAACCGTAGCCCTTAGACATAGCCGTAACTGAAAAACCTAGCCGTAATACGGAAACCTAATCGCATGCTCAAACCCTAACCGTAACCTGAAAACCTAAGCCTAAAGGCATAACCCTGTGGCGACTAGCCATCCTGACTGGTCTGGCGTCACTGTTCAAGACCTCGCTGCCTCAAGGTCATTCATCCCTTGCAGCGAGCCGTCCCAGACGAGGTGACCTGAAGTCACACAACCAACAGCTCGGGCATACCTGCGTCCGCGCAGTCGCAGCTACCCATGCGGCCACTTGAACGCGCCACCCCCTGCAACCAGCGGAACAAGCCACTGGGACACCACCACTCGGCAAATGCAGCACACGCTGATTGGACACCACTTGAGCTTGGCCCACGAGCCTACAAAAGCGGCTGCCACCACTGTCTCAGGGACTCTCAGGCCTGACTGGACGCAGTCAACACCAGCCCTGGCTTCGTCAGTGGTCACTGTCGCCTGAGAGGACAACTTCGGGTTCTGTGCACAATAAAACCCTTATTCTGGTCCCCTTTGTCTTCTCCCTTCAAACATGGAATTTGGCCTGACGATTGTAGCTCACACGCTGACTCTCTGCTGTGCCGCTACAACCCTACCCCGAAAATCGGAAACCATTAACCGGTACCCTAATCTTAACCTCAAACGTAAAACGGATGCCTAATGGGTCAGATGTGATTATGGAGCCTCACAAAATAGCCCCAGTAAACAACCCCCTCCCGCCGCCTTTAATACGGGTCCTGGCTACCAACTGCGATCTAGCCAAGGTATGTAAGAGGAAGAAGCCATTGTTATTGCAACTGCCGACCCCGTAGCGAGCGAGCACTTCCTCACAAACAACACCGTCCATGCCTATGCGGCATTTACTTCGCCATTGGCAATCAGTTTGTTCGCTTTCGACACAGTCGCTATGAGGACGTGAAGATCTTCTTGAAATTTCTTATTCACGTAATCAATTTTGGTCATTGGGGGCTTTGACGTCGATGATAGTGGAGAATTTGTTTCCCTGAAGACGCAGACTCGGATTCCTGCGGCTTTCAATGATTCCTTGCGACATCCTAGGCAGTTTCCCGACGATATCGTTCATGGGAGAAAATATGACATCAGAATCACGTCATTCTGTCTTTGTGCGCCGGATGGTGGATTTTGTATGAGGCATTTTATAGTGTGGCGGGCTTTGGCAGCATCCACTTCTCTCTCCTTCCTACAAACCTGGTTCTGTTCGCAAAACAGTATCAGATTGACCGTAAGCGTTCTCTGGCGCAGTGACTGACAAAGTTTAAACGTCCGTCTGTCTGTGCCACTTACAGAATGTACAAGACATTCATGAGGGAGGCCAGGATTTCACGTTTGTGAGAGTGGCACAGAGATCATACGGAAGTAGAGCCTTTGTAAGTGATTTTCATTCCTGAGGTGATCGATTTACCGCTCCAGTTGTCAGCCTTCCAACCCTAGACTTTGAGGCATCCGGCTTATTATACTGAGGAATGCGCTGAAATGTCGTGGGAATGGATTCACCGGACTCGACCTAACTCTCTTCCCCCTCTAATACACCAGTCGGCTGTTCGAGCACTTAAGCCAGCTAGAACCGGAATTAAGTGCGGCGGCTGGCGCAGAGGGATGTCAGCGCCTAGGCGTGCCAAATCTCCCCCCCCCCTGTACGGTAGTAGTTATGGTCTTTGCGCGGCCTCAATAGCACGTGACGTGACCAAATACGACCCCGATTCGGTCCAGCAAATGTACAGCACACCCTTGGCTACCTCCCTCTACACAAACATGCAGAAGCATTTAGACAATGCATGACAAAATTTACTCCCGTTATTAGTCAAAAGCATCCAACAAACACACACAAACACGACAGTTCGACCGTCGTTACCGATTATGTCCACCGTGTATTCCACAGTAAGATGATTCAGGCACGGTGACTTGTGCATGAATTAGTTTACGGTGATAGAAGACTTGCGCTCCCTCTGCCACATCCAATCCTCCTACTCCCCCACCTGGACCCAGTCTCAAGACAGAGCCAAGAAGACCGGAGGCGGGGAATGGCGTAGCTGGATGGCACGGTCGAGCACGCACACTGGCGCACCACTACACATCCCCTGGTCCACACAACAAATAACCAGGATCTAAACCAGTAACAGCATCATAAGGGATCAAAAAGACAAGGATGACTGGGCAGCTATGCTCACGACCTGTGCACCCAGCAGGAGTTCAAGCGCATCTAACGGCAGAGAAGCATGTGTCCTAGAACCGGCAGCGCATACCCGGCTGCGAGCGCCATGGTTTTCCGATACTGGCATAACAGACGCTTACAGAAGTTTAGCACCAGAAGGATGACACATGGCTCTGTATTTGCCTGGGACACCACTATTACAGGCTGGGTAATCAGTCAGTCGTCGACTAAGTGGCACTACCCATAAAGCACACTGATAATCCGACCGTCGCATCCGATGATGTCCACCGTGTGCCCCACAGCAAGGTGGAGACGGGACGGCAACTTGTGCATGATTTAGTTTACACTGAATGTAGACTTACACAGCATCTACCGCACTGTCTCCTGCCCCACCTGGACCCGGTGTCAAAACACAGTCAAGAAGATTGGAGGCGGGGGGGGGCGCAGCTGGATGGTACGGTAGAGCCCACACCCTCTGTTGTGAACAGCAAATAACCATAAATTTAACCAACAACAACAACAACAACAACAACAACAACAACAACAACAACAACAACAACAACAACAACAACAACAACAACAAAGAGAATGGAGGCTTGCAAGACTGAAGTCGCAGCTAGGCATGCCGCCACACCCGGCTCGGATCACACGTAGTGGAAGTGCTATAAAGGCCACGCTAAGAAGGAGCCATTGCAGCGTGACTCCCAGACCGTCAGCTGACCACCGCACACAAACACATAACACTGGGTCGACCGCGAGGTCCAAGTTATCCCGTCAGTTGGCAACCTTCCAAGCCACGACTTCAAGCTCATTGTGATAGCTTCAAGCGCGTCAGATTTGTTATTGTGAGGAAAAATGAGCTGAGTCATCGATTTCACACTCCCTTCTCATTCTCATGCCTCAGCCACTGTCCGAGCCGGTCAGTTGACTGGAGCACGCAATGGACGCGGTGGTTGACATAGTCTGGTAACCTTGTCTGCGCGCGCCAAATGCACGACCTGACCCTCCAAAACATAAGCACTAGGATTACACACAATGGGGTTGAGTGACGTTTCTCTTACATGCGTGAGAGTATCGTAGGTCACGTTTAAAAGGAGCTGTTTCAGTCTGGCTCTCAGCCCGCCAGTCCGCCACTCCACACAGACATACGGACACACATATAACTGGACAGACTGCGCGGACTGAGTTGGGGAATCAGTCATCAGTCTTCCGGACCACGAAGCCTGACGCGTCGTGATAGCCTCAAACTAGAATTGCACATGGAGTAGGGGCTGCACGGAGACGAGGCCGAGACGAACACTTCCTAGTTGCGTGAGAGGGGGCAAATGGATGATTGTGCTGGATGATGATGATGATGATGATGATGATGATGATGATGATGATGATGATGATGATGATGATGATGATGATGATGATGATGATGATGATGATGATGATGATGATGATGATGATGATGATGATGATGATGATGATGATGATGATGATGATGATGATGATGATGCTGATGCTGATGCTGATGCTGATGCTGATGCTGCTGCTTGATGTAAGTGGAGGAAGATGTCATGGTGTGGTCGAGCTGGCGATTGTCTACCGCAGGTTTTCGTGGATGAGCATGTGGTCGAATAGACCCATGCGGTGCATGAATGTGCGAGGGAAGTGTGGACAATGGAGGCGAATGCGATGGATGTAGGTTGGTGCTCCAGACACTGATTAACCAGTCTCTGTGCGATGGATTCGCAAGTGATCGAACAGGCTGATGTGTGAGGCGAATGTGCGGTCGCAGTGAAGACAGGTATGGATCGGGTTCACATCGCTGGCGTATTTGGTGTGTGGGTTGGTGTTTGCTGGTACGTCAGGAATGTGTGCAGTGGTGGTGGATGCAGTAGTCGCCGTAACGCATGCTGAAGCAATGGAGGAACAGGGACAGTAGGAGAAGGTTGAGGGAGGCAACAGAGGGAATTCAACAGAACGGCATTTAGCTTTCAATAAGGACAAACACAAACAAGCAGACAACTAGCAATCCAGCAGAGCAGTGGTCGCCTCTCGGAGGACTCGCTTACCCTGTAGCCTCGCATGGTGTTACAGACACAGTCTCGCCTCGGAGGTGCCGAGGCAGTGATCCATCCGGCCAGCGGCACCGAGTTACCGTGTGCGGAGAATCACACACGGATACTCGCACCTGGTTTGGCGTCAGCCAGCAGCCTTGCAATCCACAGTGGTTGACGCACTGTGATAGTCTCAGACTCGGATTACACATGCAGCTGAGAGGCAGCAGTGAAATCAGCGGAGACGCACACTTCCCAAATTTGGATGATTGTGGTGGGTGATAATGTTGTGTGTTGCATGTGGCGGATAGTATGGTGGTGTGATGCACTAGGCAGTTTTCTACTGCAGGTTTTCGTGAATGCGCATGTGGCCTAATATACCAATGCAGTGGGTGAATGTGCGGCTGCAATTAGGGCAGCTGAGGCGGGTGCCGCGTGTGTAGGTTGGTGTTCCGGGCATTGGTTCGCCAGTCTCTGTGCGATGGAATCGCAAGTGACCGATCAGGCCGATGTGTGATGCGAATGTACGGGAACAGTGGGAACAGGAAATGTCGGCGGTGTCAATGTCGGTTTCGATGATGCTGGCAGTTGTGGAGCGGCTGGTGATGGACGCGCTGGGGGACGGTGCCTGTGTTGAGCTAGGCATGCTGGATGTTCAAGATGTGCTAAGTGTGGTGGAGCTGATGGTGGCGGGGTGCGGGTTGAGCTAGACATGGTGGATGTGAGGGGTGTTAGGTGTGTCGAGACTGCGCCCAATTCTGCTCTCGTCGATACGCATGTGAGCGAATTGGCCCATGATGTGAGTGAATGTACGCGTAAGTTGCGGGCATTTGAGTCGAATGCGTCTGGTGTATGTGGGTGCTTCAGGCACTGGTTCGCCAGTCTGTGTGCGATGGATTCGCAATTGACTGACCAGGCCGATGTGTGAGGTGAAGGTGCGATCGCAATGAGGAAGGATATAGACCGAGTCCGCATCGCTGGCTTTAACGGTGGTAAGGTTGATGTTTGTCGGTTTGTTAGGATTGTGCGCAGTAGTTGTGGATACAGGGGCCGCAGCCGCGGATGTCGAGCCGTCGGATAAGCGTGGAATTTGGGGTTCAGGAGTGCGGACAATGCTGATTGTCAACGTGGAAGGCGAGGTAGAGCTGACTTGTGGGCATCAAATAGTATCGTCCGGGTGCTACAGTTGGTACAAAAATGTACAGTAAGACTGATTAATGCCCGGAACGTCCGCTGACACCGTGGACAGGTCGGGGGTGGTTGAGAGTTGGCGTTGCGAGGTAGGGGTATTTGAGATTTGGGAGCTTTGGGCTTGGCTTTGGCAGCGTTGATGCGGTTAGCTTTGTAGGGATAACCGGGTTTATCTGAGTGCAGCGATATCCACTTTGTAGCGCACCACTTTCCCAACGAATAGAGCTGTCGTTCGTTCAGGTCGGCTTCTCTGGGGAATGTATAAAAGGAACCTAACATTCCAGCCGCCAGAGTCAGCGGACTCAACGCAATTGCTTGTGGGATGGGGTGGAGGTAAGTAGTGGGAATAGGAGTCTTGTTTCTGCTTCGACTGTTCCGAACGAATTTTAATCATTCTGCGAGCCACGATCTCCACGTAGGTGTCGTGAACCCAGTTTTGTTTAGACACCATTTATAGAATCCTTCTTTTCTCTGGGGAAATCAGTGCTCTCCCTAATCATGGCTATTTTTTCCGCGCCAGAAGGATACCTCTCCGCACTCTGAGCAATGGGGTTTAGTTAAAGAACGACAAGTTGCCTAAGTCGCTTACGTGATTGCATGTATCATTCGCCGTAGGACGTTGGACGGTGGGGAATGGGAGTAGAGTAGAGAGTAAAGAGAATGAACGGCGGAGAAAAATGCGAAGGAGTAGGAAGGGGCGGCTGTTCCAGGCACTGAGTCAGTAGGCCGCTGAGTGCTGAAAATGCCATGGAGGGCAGGCAGAGACAAACAAGCGGTATTGAGCT